TCCGAGTGAAAGTGCTGCAGTGGCCCTTCATAGCTGGTGTCACAGTGGCCGCTACGTACGCTGGTACGTGGTAGACATGCGCTTCTGTGAATCAGCCCCAGGTCACCTTGCGCGCAGGCCGGTTTTACAGTGCTGCTCCCCCCTTCAGACTCCTTAAATGCCAAGTTCTGTTTATTTCATTCAAGCTGTGTGTAAAGGCACCGTATAAAAAGGACGTGGGTTTGTACCATCGTCTGCCTCGTTATGGATTTTTTTTTTTACACTTCCTTTTTTTTTCATCAAAATGCCAGCTCTTACTGCACTTTCGGTGTTGAAGAGCTAGTCGATATTGTACTAATGAAGTGGAGACAGGGAGTTTGTAGGCGGTTGAAGGTGGTGTCTGGTGATTTCAAAGTCGGAAATTTTCTTGTGTTTGCAAATTGATTCCTGAGTTGAAGACGGGTGGAATAGTTTTACAAAGTCATGGGCATGCCTCCAGAAAACATGGTACCAGCAGAAAGAATCATCTTTGGAGGAGAAGGAGGAGGGATAGGTGGAACTCCAGTTGTCTTTATGAGGAGAACAGTACTCATATCTGGTGTAAATAGTTTTATTTTTAATGGGGCATTATTAACGTCATCGTATTCAAGATAAAAATCGTGTTCACAGTTAGGCTGAGAAAACCATGGTTTTGGGCGTGGATCAAAACTGGTCGGAGGGCATGCATTTGTTTTCAGATTTGTTTCAAGTAAAATATCAAACAGCAAGCGAAGCAACATGTATTCTTACTGAAATATTTCCTTTTGTTCTGTGTTTGGTTTTGCAGAAATAAAATTTTGGGACAGAAGTTAGGTGACTGAAACTTCTGTGAAATTTCAGTGTGTGTGTGTATATATACACACATGCAACACTTGTGTGTATGAAGTGTGTGTGTATATATGTGTGTATAGTCATATTGTGCATACCAAAAAAAGTAATATTTTAATAAATGTGTTTACTCAGCTAAGCTGTCACTGGATTTGCATTTGTGTGTGTGTACCTTTTGATCTCAAAAGAAAAGGCTTGGTAACTTTCATAGGACATGTTTTTTACTTTTTTTTTTTTTTTTTTTTGATGTTCATGTATTTTGGCAGCGGTTTCCAATGGGATGTGAAAACAGGAAAAGTTTGCCTAGTTGTGCTAGACAAGCCCACTTAGTTGGATACATCTGGTACGTCATTCAAGCAGTAAAATAGCTAATCGTGTTAGTATTTGGTAGAAATAATTTGTGGAGCTCTGTAAATGCATGTAGTGCTTTACAGACGCGAAGAACTGAGGTTCCTGCTGTGAGGCACTTAACCATCTGAAATAAAAGTAATACAGGGAATAACAGTGCAAACACAAGAAGGCATAACGATACATGATGAAGGTCTTGCCTTCTTTAGCTAATGTTTGCCTTTGGGGCTGTGAATTCAGCTAGACAGGCTGGCCTTCATAATGTAAACTGTCTTTCAAACCAGACAGGTAAAAATGTAATTTAAAAATAAGTAAGTTTAAATTCTGGAAAATAAAGGAAAACCTATGTAAAGATTCCAAGGATTAGCTCTTGCAGCCGCTTTGCTTGTGTAGCAGTAATTCACTTAGCTTGTGCAATAACTGTAGGATTAGTCTGTAGGTTTTGCCTCGTGAATTTGCTTTAAAGTTCGTAGAAGGCCTCATATTAACAGCAGAATTTTATAGAACTTACTGGTGCAAGGGCCAGCTTCCAGAAAGAACTTGCATCACTTCACGGGCCTTTTTGTCGTTAATTAATCAAGAGCCCACAAATACATGGTAGAACTAGCACGTTTGGTTCTGAGAGGAGCCTTCTCTGTGTGTATTCAAAACCTACATTGAGATTTCAAGGCATCTTTACTTCTTCGTAAAGTACAATGATGTTGCGTTCTGGTTAAAGGCATGGAAGATAAGGATAGAAATTAAGTCAATTTAAGCAACTCAGGTATTTGAGTACAATATTTTTTATAGATGATCTGCAAAGTCCTTTCACAATTTTTCATGTAGAGTAGCTAAAGTAGCTACAGGGAGTTGTTAATTCAGAATCTAATGAACAAGCCTATGATTGTGATTGCTGTGCCCATTTTAATTTACTCTGCCATTTTTAGCTGCTTTTTTTTTGCTATGTGAAAGGTGAGTTTTTAAGCTCAGTACTGTGTGCAAAAGGTGAGTGTATTTAGAGAAAACAGAAAACTGAACAAGGAGAAATGGGGAAAATATGTGTAATGCTGTGAAATGAGCCAGCTGGACAAGCTGATCTCTCAAACATAGAATAAAATTGGGTGTTGTAACAACTGCAGATTTTTAGAAGTATGGAATTACCATGGCTGTTTTACAGATTTTTCACAGGGGAAAAAAGTTAACTTGTAAACAGAGTCTTTTGGAAAGGATTAAAAGCAGGTTTTGTTTTCTTCAGTGCTGCATGTGGTTGTGTGGCTGTTCGTAGTCTCTCCTAGGAGCGGCGGTCAAATTAACAGGACGTGGCTTGTTTTCTTCTTGGTTTTTGGGATGCTGTGACAGTAGTAAAACTGCCGGTAGGTCATTGCAGTGTGATTTCACAGACTACGAGGAAGAAAAACATTTGTAGAGGTAGGTGTTGGAGCTGTGCTGTGGGTGGGGCAGGGAGAGGGAGAATTAAAGTGTCAAAAGAAATAGACTGAAAGGCGAATAATGTGGTGGACATACTGATACAGCCTTACAAGGGAGAGAGGAGATGGAAAAGTCTGGTGACCTCCCATGTCCTCAGTAGTCAGGGGGCAGCAGGGTGACACCACACATCAGAGAGATTTTGTTAACTGAGGTTGGTATCTTGGGATGCGTTAGGTGTTGGCTAGCAATTGGGTGGTACAAAATTCATACAAGTGCAGGCTGTGAGCCATATTGCAGATGGCACTTCGTTAGAACATGGGGAATCCTTCCCAAGAGCCAACAGAGGCACAAGAGTTGGACTTAGTGTTTCAGTATGTCACCTTGGTCTTGCTGGATGACCTCTAAATGCTCACCTTTTGTATTGACTGTGTATACGAGCTGATAAAATTGCTAAGGCCTGTTTTCACCTGATACTCTATTGAAAGGTAAAAGCATATTTTTAATCTATTTGTAGCAATTACAAAGGGGGAGAAATGTGTTCTTTCGACAGTCTTTACTATGCAGCTAAAACAGTTTGAATGCAAGGTGCCTGTGTACGTGGTTTTATTTTCTTCCTGCTTTGGATCTTTGTGCCTTTCAGTGGCTATGACAGAGCTGAACAAACTTAACTGCAACGCTTTTTGCTTCTAGGGGAAAACTTAATTCTGAGTGTTCAAGTCCAAATATAGAGTCACCAGATTGTTTTTTTCTGTCAAAGTAGTCTCTAATACCTTCTAAATGAGAATTAGGCAAGACAGTATGATTTTTTTTTATGCAGCAGTTATTATGTTCCTTTATTGCAGCTACACTTTTCAAAGAGGTAACATAGCTCTTAATATGTCTGGAAAACAAATTAAGCTTGACTAATACCTTTTAATTCCTAAGAAATGGTAAAAAACTGCTGTGATGAGCACACAGTTTTGGGTAATTCTGATAGAAATGGTGAGCT